TTTAGTATCACCTTCTAAGGCTATCTATAAAGCGCTCGATAGTTATATCTAGTAGTAATAAATCTATAATATTCCTAAAAAAAGGGTCGAGATAATTTTAAGCATGGGAGACTAAGGTATATTCTCCTCTTAATAGACTAGCTTGTTTAGCTAGGGAAATAATCTCTCCTACGTAGGCTATAGGGCTATAGCCTTCTCTAATATCCTGAATTATATACTAAAGCTTTTTAAAGGTATTTAGTACTTTTACAGGAGGGGCGCAAAAGTAGTTTTTTAGAGCTCTATACTACTCTTCTACCCTATTATAATATAATATTAGGCCTACCCTAGTAACAGATAAGATCTCTATTATTTACTACTATTAAGCTAGCCTACGTAGGGTTATATTTAGATATTTATATATTATTACTAGATCCTTTATAGTCGCTACTATCCTTACCCTAGTTATAAAGGTATAGATAGATTAATAAAATATCTTTCTATCTTTATTAATAACCTCGCCGCGGCCTTAGAACTATAGATAGTCCGGGTAGAAGAATTCTAGATTAGTAATCTTAAAAGGGGGGCCTTATGCGAGATTTTCCTCTAATTAATCACTAACTAATTTATAATCTAATCGCAGGTCTTTCATTTCCATTATTAATTTGCCTCTTCTAGACAAGGTAGGTAGGAATCTGGCTAGGGTTATTTAAAGTATACGCTTAATAGCTTCTTCCTATTCTTTTAAGAAGGGGCTCTCTAAGGTAGAGCTTTGGCTCGCCTTTTTAACACTATCGCTTATTAGAGTAGGCTTTTGCAAATATACTTGCATACTAATAGAATTTAGGTTAGGGCGGCTTATCTAAGTTCTAATAGATTACAAGGGGGGTAATATATAGCTAAGTATTATACCTATAGTTCCTTAGGAGCTTGGCGACACGTGATATTGCATCTCTAGTACTACTATAGTTTCTAGCTTATTGAGTTAAATAATTAATTATATTTTATTTATACCTTAGTATTTTAGCTATTTAGATACTCCCTTTACTAGAGCTAGATTCAGAATTGCTATACTATAGTATTAGTAGTATTATCTTATAGGATAGATTAGCTCTATTAGACTTAGGAAGTTATTTATATCTATCTAAAAGTTTTGCTCTATAAGAAGCTAGTCCTAGGGAATTAGATAGGATAGCTCCGTTTGAGGTACTTATAAGTACCTTATTTACTATTCCCTTATCTCGTCTATATAGGAGCAGAGGTTTATTATATTTATTAGTAGTTCTAATTGAGAGTATTACTCTAGGATAAATTCGACTATAATTCCGATTTCTTAATCTATAATTAACCACGGTAGTTCCACGATTTGGAATACTTTTATTTAGTATATAAGGATAACTGCGCGAGGATTTAGAGGTATAGCTAATCCTAGCTATAGGTTAGGGGCCTATATAAAATTTTTTCTTATATATTTTCATATCTTAAATAGGGTTAAGGATTATTAAATCTTGCTCTTAATAGTATTTTCTATTTAGAGAAAGATATACTACTATTCTATAAGGCCTTCTACAGATATATATACCGTAAGGTTAGATTTAGAGTAATAATAGGTTAATTATCTAAGCTTGGAGTTTCTATCTAATTTCTATCTAGACTAGGTCACGTGGTATATAAGTACCACAGTTATACCGTAGTATTAAGCTTGGTGCCTTATCACGTAATATTGTAAGTACTACGGTTGTACCGTGGTATTATCTCTAGTCGCTATTCTCGTGATAATGGCGAATTTGGCTAAAAAATTCCTATTTGAGCCCATTCTACGTCACGTGATTAAAATCAGCAAATTCCATCAACTTTGACGACTTCTATCAAATTCCAATAAAGGATAGATTCAGGATGGAAAATTGAATATACTAGTGCTAGGGATAGCACTATTAGAAAGGAAAGGGCAACTATAATGCCATAGCTTACCTAATTAAGCTTAATCAGCACTTACCTAAGCCTTACCTCTTACCTTTCCCTATGTATCTAACTCTCAACTGAATTCCCTTTCTGGAATTCAGCGATTAGTTCTATTACAGACGATATCACACATTCTAGTTCCATCTTGTTTCTAGTTACTGCAGTACCTTTGCCTAACCGCCTCACATTTAGTAGCTAGGAAATAGCTTGATATACCCTGTGATAAAGCTCCGACTAGAAATAAATTATATAAGAGCTATATAAAGGATAAGAGGGGATATATTTAAATCCCCAAAGGATTTAAGTACGATAAGGAGGAGTTTTTTAAAATAATAAATACCTTTTTTACTACTAAAGTTCCGAGTATTAAGGAAAAAAAGGGAGTAGTTCTAGCTAAGCTTACGGAGTAAATTAATACTAAATTAGAGGTATTCCTAGCTAAATATCCTAAAGAGGTGCCACCAAAACAAATAGTTAAAAATACTATAGGTACTATAGTTACTAGCGCTTCTAGTAGCGGAGCAGAGCTTTATCTTCTATAGGAAATTAGAGAGCTTTCGGAGGAATTATATAAGGAGAACTTAAATATTATTTCGGAGCTAAAGGTAAGTAACCTAGATATCTATTAATATATAGTTACTAATATATATAATAGGAAATTAAGGATCTCCTCTAGCAGGGACTTATAGTAATAAAAAATCGCCCTAAGAGTAGAATTCCTAATTTTATTTAAGCTCAAGCCTAGTTTTAAACTCGAATTTAAGATTAAACTAAAGCTTGTACTTAAGCTCCTGCTCCTATTCCTACTTAAGCTCCTACTTCTATTCCTGTTCCTATTCCTACTTCTACTCCTACTCCTTTCCCAGGTATACGATATGTGGAAATAGATACTAAGTGTAATAAGGTTAGTATATTTTATAGAGGTAGAGCTATTATTTATACTAGTACTTTAGATTAAAAAAGGGTAAGATAAAATCTCCTTCCGTAGTTCCTTATAGATACTAATTAGAAATTTAATAGAAGCGGACTCACTCAAATAGTAGTAAGGCTACGCCTATAAAGAGGGCTACTATTAATTCCGGTAGTCCTCCGTACTCGGAAATTTTACCTATAGAGTTACTATATAATATATTACTAGCCTCCGAGCTTATAGAGGAGGATACTTAATATTATAATAGCTAGTTTAACGGAGTTATAAATCCTTTTATTAAGGCCCTTTTAGAATTGATTAAGGCCTCGATATAATTGATAGAGGCCACTTTAGAATTAGAGCTAGAAGGGTAGATTAATAGTAGATATAGTAGATACGTTCTTAAATAATAGAATATTCTAAGCTTTGAAAGGTTCTATTTAATTAATATATATAAGATATAGTAATATATAAAATTAATAGATATTCTTAATATATTTATAGTATATATACTATTCTACAACGGATAGAAGCTCCGCTCGTGCCGGAACAATATATTTGAAGTTCCGAAAAAACCCTATTTTCCCCTATGGTAGTTAAGGTTGGCGGCCGGGCCGGGATTTTCCTTGGCACTGGACTCCAACTTTAAACATGTCATTTGATTATCACGTGACTGAGATTTAAGGTTTTCCTCCCCCAACATGCAGAACAACCAGAAACAGGAACAACTTCGTATCTTAACTTGTGCTATCCGAGCTGCATCAGCGAGCCGAACCTGTGTTATAGGGGACAGAAGGGTATATCAAGGGTATATTACTCCCTTTATTCTGCTACAACTTGGCCAGAAGTGACGACTGAAAATGCTGTGATTCTATTTATGGTTTGCTCACCTCGAGCGCCTTAAAGGATGATCACCATCGTGCAGGTGCTTAGCTTAAGGCTGAGCAGGGCTCATTCTGCATATGTATAGGGGCTCTTTTTCTTTATTCAACCACCTATCTCTAATCGTTCCAACTGGCTGTTTTGCTGTATTTTCTATACAATTCCCTTTATTCGATGAAACCGGACATCTTGGTTTGAGGCCCTTCACAGCATCTGGTGCCAACGGCTTTGAAGAGCAAGTGCGCCGCTATCATGTAGGGTTCTCCAGCTCTGTAGCACGATTCGGCTTATACCCACCATTCCATAACCCTGGACTTGATATATCCTCAGCTTTTGTGTAAGGCTTAACATGGAATATTTGACCTTTCATGTGTTCGCTTCTATTGGTCCCCTTGCCCACCGGCGTCAGCATCGGTGTGAGAAGTCATCCTTTCCCGGAAAAATCTCAGTAGCACCCGAAGCTAAGAGTCTGCATAATAGGAAATTTTCGGCGCGGTAGATCCTATCATTGACATCCTCTGGTCGGGATTGTCGAATCCGTTAGCCTATTGATGTACTGCATCGCTGCGGACTGGCCCTAGCCATGGCATGCGTGCCTGTTTCAAACGTATGCCATATCTATCTCTTATTTCCCACGGACGACGAAACCACTCCGTTATCTCAAGTTTCTTCAAGTTTACCCAAGCGCATGTTTCAGATACCCTTCTGCGTATGGCGTTGTCCCCTTCATGCGTACCTTTCCTTGTTGACAGCAAGAAGATCTGTACTTCACTGCCTCAGGTACCTTTACATATATTGAAAGGATCTCTGCTTTAATGACAATTAACCACCTGCCAGCTCATATATAGGCTAGCAGAGTGTTAATAAATATGTGATTGTTCGCATCTAGGCTTTCATCAAAGTCATTATCCAGTTTCCTTTTTTCCTTTCTATCTTCAGCCTCACCGGGTGGGCTTGATGTTCCTATCTCTCTTATTTCCTTGATATCTCTATTTTCAATTATTAGCGTGTGCTGGTTCACGCGCGCCTATATACCCAATTTCCTCTCCGCACTCTTGTTTAGATAACAGCCTAGATACGCGACGCAGGACAGACTCTCTGCTTCTTTTCTTTTCTCCTTCTACTTTACTATCTCCACGTTTTAGAAAAATTCTACACTCTTCTCTGTGGCCTTTTCTTCATTTCCCAGCTTGTTCTCCTTTGTGTTTGTTCTCGGCTAAGGGCGGCCTTTCTCCTTGTTTCTGTACATTTTTGCTTTATACTGAAAATGGCACCAATACTTGATCACTTTACGTCTCACGCTGCCCTTTCAGCGCGGTCGTTTGGACTCGGTGGGCCAGCCTCTAGCATGGTAGTCATCGATATTGTCATGACGAGCATTGCAGTTGCTCTTGTGCTGAACCGCGTTGTTGTTCGGCTGGTGACAAGCAAGAAGCTGGCATCGGATGACTTCGTTATCATAGGGTCCTTGGTAAGTCTTCTCGAGCCTGTTTACTGAGATTCCAATTGCTAACTGGATATATCTCTATTTAGATCATTTGCGTGGCCATGAATGTTGTGAACATTGCAGGTAGGTCTTGCACAACCAATTGATGTATAACAATACCACCTATCTAATCACTATATAGCCATTAATCATGGGTATGGGCGACCTTCATCTGACGTGCCCGTGAATGACTTGAAAATAGCCCTTGAGGTGGGTTACAGCTAATGACTGTGATTTTTACGCGTTTTTAAGCTGACCTTTTGCTGATATAGTTATATTTCGCCCTACAAATGCTCTATAGAGTGACTATAAACATGACGAAGCTTTCAATGCTGCTCTTATATCGCAAGATCTTTGACACCGAAAGATTTCGATTCAAACTCATTTGCGACGTTTTATTCGTCTATATAATGCTTTACACGATCGCCACCTTTATAGTCACTATCTTTCAATGCGATCCTATCCCAAAAGCCTGGGGTAGGGATATACCTGGCTCTTGCGTTAATCTTACTGCTTTCTGGTATGCTAACGCAGCACTGCACACTTTGACCGATGTCATTATCCTACTACTCCCCATGCCAGTCATCAAGGGGCTCAAGTTACCCCGACGCCAAAAGCTCGCATTGAATCTAGTATTCGCCCTTGGGGTATTGTATGTATCTTTGTACCTTATTTTTTTATGCTGAAAACTAAGAGCACTAAGACTAACCCCCTCCCTCTCTGCTTGTTAGTGTCTGTGGCACTTCAATTGCGCGCATGCTTACCCTCAATACGTCTTCTAAGGCGAGCGACGTGAACGAGGGAACGGCACTATCAACGCTATGGACAACTATCGAAGCAAACACAGCCATTATTTGTGCTTGTCTCCCAATGGTTCGGATACCTCTATCAAAGGTTATCCCATCTCTATTTCCTGCATTTCAATACAGTGACAGCATCTGCGAGACCAGTAGTGAGGCTTCCACTGCGAAGTCTGATCGACCCTTTATTACTTCCTGGTGCTCACTACGAAACTCAAGGAGCTCCTCCGTCTCTGAGACGCAGACGATGCTTCCCAATTCTTACGGCCTCGCAAATATTATATTCCCTACCTGGGGATAGGGTTGTTGACTCCTCTAGCGCAAGTGTTCTCTTTGCCACTTGTTTTCTCTTCCACCCCTCTTTTTCCATTTTGATTGATTGACTTTTGAGACTCCATCTTTCTGGCTGGTTTTACTGGTGCGATACATGTTTTATGATATTCAATGTTGTTAATGTTCTCATGTTTGGGCTTGTTTTGGCGTTTAGGGGAACAGCGCGGGGATGAGTGAGATATGCAATGATGATTCTACAGAGGGAGTTGTTGGAAGGGAGCGTTGCTTCAACGTACGGTTTCAGAGTATGCGATCTGGCCATATGGCACAAGGTATCAGGGGTTAAATGCACGTTTCTGAATCCAATCCTTTTTTTTGCTTCTTCTGCCTTTGTCTTTCTCTTATCGCCTATCGCTTATCAGAGTGGCTTATCGCCGGCTGACTAAGCGACCAACATTCGCGACACAATTGCTGCCTTTGAGAGAAATGACGACGGTTGATATCCAAACGAACAGCCAGCTGATTCTTCGCCGTGTTTTCAAGATCATGGGCCCAAAAAAGGGCGGCGGGAATCGTGCTGGGCCCAAGAAATCCTCGAGCTCGCAGCCTGCAGAGATCTCCATCTCGGACTTTGTTGCTGCGGGCGAGAAAAATGAAGCTAAGAAATCGAAAGCTGGAACTAAGTCCAAAGGCAAAGATACTGGAGGGGAGGCTGCGAATAAGCCGGAAGAGCCCAAGAAGCCCTCCGTGAGGGCTGTTATAGGCGGCGCATCATGGACAGGTAAATTGCCTGTTAACATGCTTTCGGAGCATTGTCAGAAGCAGAAGTGGGCTAAGCCTGAGTATACAATGGTATGTCACCATATATTGAACGTCTGCTATGGTTTACTATAATGATACTAACGGAACAGACCAAAAATGCGGATGGGTTTCTGGCAGATGTGATATTGAAAAAGGTCAACCCCAAAACAAACGACACGGTGACCCTGCCTCCCTTTCGCCTGCCCCCTTCGCATAAAAAATTGGGTACACAGCCAACAGCTGTAGAAGCCCGCCACTTTGCTGCTGCTTACGCACTGTTCCGGGTATGCAACATGCGGAATCTGCATATGATGATGCCTCCGACTTTTCGGGACCTCTGGAAGGACCAGTTTGCAGCGCTTAAGGCAGAGGATGTGAAAAAGGGGAATGGTTGGATGTATGAAGCCGACCCTTTCACTACATTCCAGGAAAGAAATAATGCCATTGCTGAACTTACGCGGCGGAAGGAACAAAAGGCAAAGGAACCGTCAAAACAAAAAGAGGATCGTGTTCAGCTCGGACTGTCGTCAGGTGCGAGTGGCGGTAGTGGCCATACAGGAGGCCGTTGGCTGAAGGCACCCAAAATTGATATGGGTGACAAGGTACGTGGGAGAGTTGAAGAGTTAATTAGGAGGAGAGCTATATGGAATCCGTATAGGATTGAAATATCAGAAGATGGGAAAAGGAACATGATGGATGAGCTTGTCAAACTTGGCTTCCGAGCAAGCCATGTTGAAGAAGCGCTCTCAGAATGTAAGGATAGAGAGGAGGCTCTTGAGTGGCTCCTCATCCATATACCAGAAGATGATCTTCCCCCGTGGAGTCTGCCGGAAGGATATACCGCTGGCATAACGTTGGCAAGCAATGATCTTGCAAGGGAGTCTAAAATCAAACGACTCTCTGCTGCTGGATACTCAGCGGATCTCTGCCGCTCCGTTCTTGATAAATATGAGAACGATGAACGACTCTCGGCAGAAGCTCTACAGCACATGTTAGTTTACAGTCAAGACCTTGCTATTGAATCTTACGCACCAGTTAATGGCAATGCCACTTGGGAGGAAGAACACCAAACGTTAGAGGCTATTTATGATACCAAATATAAAAGACTATCTGAAAATGCATGCCAAATCATGACAGAGCCCGAGTCGTTACCGCATATTACATACTCTTTCTGGAACCCAGCTAAAGCTGCCTACCCCGAGGCTCCTCCGGTGGTGGCCATCCTCACGAAGGAAATACCAGCCTATATCCGATTGAGTGCCACGCGCCAGGCAGTACACCATGCAATAGCCAATCTTAAGGGGGAACCAATGATTTTCAACATCATTGACTGGCTAAATGAGAATTTACCTCGCATTTTGGAGAGTCCTGGGAAGCTACGGAGTATTTCTGTTGAGGCCGGTGACAATGTGAACAGCGAAGACGATTTATCTACAGTCTCTAATCCGAAATCAAAGTCGAAGTCGGCTAGAGGAATGGCACATCGACCCAAGAAGCTTACCAGTGATGACATCCGACGTAGCTGGGAAACCAAACAAACCACGCCCGAGCAACAGAAGATGCTCAAGGCAAGACAGTCTTTGCCAGCGTGGGATATTCAAGATGCAATTCTGGATGAAGTTCATTCGCACCAGGTCACCATTATCTCTGGTGAGACCGGTAGTGGGAAGAGTACTCAGTGTGTCCAGTTTATTTTAGACGATTTGATCAAGCACGACCTTGGCTCATCGGCAAATATTGTCTGCACGCAACCACGAAGAATATCCGCTCTGGGTCTTGCCGATCGAGTTAGTGCAGAGCGATGTTCAGCCGTCGGCGACGACGTTGGGTATATCATCAGAGGAGATTCAAAATCCAAGCCGGGTGTAACGAAGATCACATTTATGACAACAGGTGTCCTACTGCGGCGTCTCCAGACAGCCGGTGGAAGTGTTATTGAAGCTTTAGCGGACATTAGTCATGTGGTTCTCGATGAGGTTCATGAGAGAGGCCTTGATACCGATTTCCTCCTTGCCGTACTGAGAGAGGCTTTGAAAACCCGTAAGGATCTGAAACTTATTCTGATGAGTGCCACCCTCGACGCCAATATGTTCATCAACTACTTCGGTGGCGATAAGCACGTTGGAAGAGTCAATATCCCAGGTAGGACGTTCCCTGTCGAGGATATATACCTTGATGATGTTCTTCGGAGCACCGGCTTTAATTCAGCCTCACCATATGAGCTCTCTGATGACAATGAGCAGTCACTGGGCAAAACCATCCAGAAACTGGGTAGTGCGATCAACTATGAGCTTATATCCAACACAGTTCAACATATTGACGCTCAACTTGGTAATGAGCCTGGTGGCATCTTGATCTTCCTACCAGGAACTATGGAAATAGATCGGTGTTTATCCTCCATGAAACATCTACATTTTGCCCATCTGCTGCCTCTGCATGCCTCACTGCTCCCGAGTGAACAAAAGCGAGTCTTTAACGCACCTCCTCCGGGAATGAGAAAGGTTATTGCGGCCACAAACGTTGCGGAAACTTCCATTACGATCGAGGATATAGTTGCCGTTATAGACACTGGTCGAGTCAAAGAAACCCGGTATAACCCAGTTGACAACATAGTACGGCTGGAAGAAACATGGGCCTCCCAGGCAGCTTGCAAGCAGCGTCGAGGTAGAGCTGGACGTGTACGCAACGGTACCTGCTTTAAACTGTACACTCGAAATGCAGAGAAGAATATGGCATCCCGACCTGAGCCGGAAATCCGGCGTGTGCCTCTTGAACAACTCTGCCTTTCCGTAAAGGCGATGAGAGGGATTCAAAATGTGCCTGATTTTCTTGCAAACACTCTCACACCCCCAGACAACATTGCTGTGGGCGGGGCTTTGCATATGCTTCACCGTATGGGAGCCCTTGACAATGATCAGCTAACTGCGCTTGGCCGCTATCTATCTATAATTCCAGCAGATTTGCGGTGTGCAAAATTAATGGTTTATGGTGTGATATTTGGATGCATCGAAGCATGCTTGACCATTGCTGCGATCTTGACGGTTAAGAGCCCGTTTGTAAGCCCAAGGGAAGCCCGTGAGGAAGCCAAAGAGGCTAGAAGTGTATTTTCCAACGGAGACGGGGATATCCTGACAGATTTATCTGCCTACCAACAGTGGGTGGATAAGATTCGAGAGCAGGGCTATCGAAAGGCCCAAGTATGGTGCCGGGACAACTTCCTACTTCCACAGACGCTGCAGGATATCTCGTCCAATCGAGCTCAACTCCTTGGATCGTTGAAAGATGCAGCGCTTTTGCCAGTCGATTACAAGGACCCTGGGTGCGAAAGCCGCTGGAATCGCCATGACAAGAACAGTCATTTAATCCGTGCCTTGATATCAGGTGCGTTCAACCCTCAGATTGCATCGATATCCTTCCCCGAGAAGAAGTTCGCTGCTTCGATGACTGGAACCATTGAGCTTGACCCTGAGGCCCGCACGATAAAATACTTTAACCAAGAGAATGGCAGAGTGTTTGTGCACCCCAGCTCTACCTTGTTCGATGCACAGGTATTTTCCGGATCTGCACAATACGTGAGTTATTTCACCAAAATGGCAACAAGTAAAGTATTCATCCGAGATGTGACGCGTGAGTAACCCTTATTATTCCCATACACTTAAAATGTAAAACTAATAAATTCTTTTGGTAGCATTCAACTCATATGCTCTGCTGTTGTTCACCGGGCAAGTGACACTGGATACTCTGGGCAGAGGCGTGCTTGTTGATGAATGGCTCCGGCTCAGGGGTTGGGCTCGAATAGGGGTTTTAATTTCTAGGCTGAGGATGATGCTTGATGAAGTATTGAGACGAAAAGTTGACAACCCCGGCCTCAATGTGGAGGAGGACGAGGTCATTGACGTCGTCCGTCACCTCGTCTTACTTAACGGGCAAGATCTATGAACAGGATTGCCATTGTTTGGTCGTATCTCATTGCCATATTTTGTTGGATAGCTACTTTTGGTTGGAACATAAAACAGTTGTCACAGGATATAAGAAGGCGGAATAGATTTCAGGTGATTTTTTTCATATATTGTGTCATGATGCTAGAGACACCGCAACGGGCTACTACGGAAGAATCATGAGCTAGATGACTGAAAGATAAGATAATATACATTAGAATAATGATTTAGCATGGGTCAAGGCCAAATCTAATGAGGAACAGCTGAAAGTATGTCAAAGGAAG